TTCCTCTCCTCTCTTCCTGTATCTTCTCTGCCTCCCTCTCCTCCTCCCTCCTCACTCACTCTCCCCCTCCTCAGGCTATGATCAACATCGTGCGTCGAGCCGCTCGCGTCGAGTCGCTCGGCAGCAGCAAGACGCTCGCGCGTGAGGCCCACAGGAAGCGCCTGCGAGCCATGGGCGCGAGGCGGTTGAGAGGCGAGGAGGGGGAGCAGGAGGAGCGAGAGGAGGAGAGGAGGGAGGAGGACACACTGGAAGTGGCGACGGGGAGTGATCGCTCGCTGTTCCTGGGTCTCGGAGTCTGAAGGAGAGGAGGAGGAGGAGGAGGAGGAGGAGGAGGAGCCTGAGGATGATGTAACATACGCCGTTAAGATGAAAGTTTAGCGACTTCTACAAGCATGTGAATACACAAACTGAAGACATGAAAGAAATCTTCGAGTCTCTCTCAGTCATCAGTGCCGAGACTTCTCACAACAAGTTCCTCCCGCAGGCGGCCCTTGGCACTGGTACTGCGGCCCTGGCAGTGAGTGGCCCAGCCTCCGGGCCCGGTGACTCGAGTGGGCCCGCCGGGGCCCGCCGGGGCCCGGCCAGGCTGTGCACTGATTACTGTACAAGTAGTGGACATTTAACTTAACTTTGAGTAAAAGATTTTAGGCTGGTAGTGACTCATCACGGGTTCATTATTATCACTGATATCTGAGGCAGACTCGGTAAAGCGATTGAGTAATCAAAACCGACCACCGTCATGCGACGGAGAGGCAGTCACAAGGGAGAGCAAGATCAGGAGCGAGAGCGAGAGCAGGAGCAGGAGCAGGAGCAGGAGCAGGAGCAGGATCAGGAGCAGGAGCAGGAGCAGGAGCAGGAGCAGGAGCAGGAGCAGGATCAGGAGCAGGAGCAGGAGCAGGAGCAGGAGCAGGAGCAGGAGCAGGAGCAGGAGCAGGAGCAGGAGCAGGAGCAGGAGCAGGAGCAGGAGCAGGAGCAGGAGCAGGAGCAGGAGCAGGAGCGAGAGCGGGAGCAGGAGCAGAGCAAGAGCAAGGGCAGGTGCGAGAGCGATAGCGATAGCGGGAGCAGGAGCAGGAGCAGGAGCAGGAGCAGGAGCAAGGGAGACAGACATGAAGGGAAGACAACAGTCATGAGAAAGTCACTGGTTGTGCCTTGTGACTTGTTGGCTGTTTGGCAGGTGCTATGCCTGAGAAAGAAAAGGATCAATTCCCTCCCCTACAGATTGGGCAGGTCATCCAATTTCCTCCCCATCACCACCAGCTTCTCCTCCTTCGTCTCCTCAACTCCTCCTCTTCCTACGCTGCTCTCCCTCTCCCTCTCCCTCCCTCCTCTTCCCTCTCTCCCCGTTTCTCCTGCTCCTCCTCTTTCTGTTCACGTGATGCTCATGTTCAGCGGGTGGTTGTGCTGGGAAAGCGGAAGGGCTTCGTTCGGTTCTGTGGCCCAACAGCATTCGGGCCAGGTATACGAGGAGAGAGGGAAAGTTGATAGAGGAGAGGAGGGGAGAGAGGGGAGGGGAGGGGAGGAAGTGAGGTGAGGAGGGGAAGAGAGGAGGGGAGGGGGAGAGGAGGAGTGGATGGAATGGAAGGATGAGGAAGAGGATGGGATGGAATAGAAGGAGGAGCAGGAAGGAGCAGGAGCAGGAGCAGGAGGAGCACGAGCAGGAGTTCAGGCTGACGCCTCCTGGCAGGGGAGTGGGTCGGGATAGAGCTTGAGAAGCCAACGGGAACGCATGACGGGGAGGCGAACGGCCAGCGATACTTCACGTGCCCGATGAACCATGGCATCTACGTCCAGCGGCATGGCGTGCACCCGGTGAACTCATGGCAGGCAGCAGCGTTTCAGATCCAGAGCTTCCTGAGGGGCAGGAAGGACAGGCAGGGGGCGGACTTCAAGAGGACCTTCTTCACGTGGAACCAGATGGAAATGCAGGACGAGAGCGAGTACCTGAATCAGACGGCCACGATCAGCAGGGTCGAGCAGATGCTCAAGGCATACCACCCCGCAAACACTCCCAACCAGAGCCACTCGGCGGTAGCCATGTCGATCTCAGCTGGAGTCTCCATCGACCCGCACACGTGGGGGCAGGAGGTGGAGGTGCAGGAGACGTACAAGGGGCCGAGGATCGAGTTTCCTGTGACCGAGAAGAATGTGCGCGAGGTCCTCAACCACATCCGTACCAGGCCCCACGAACCCATCCACCCCAAGTTCGTGATGCAGCTCATCGGATCAAGGTGACTCCTCCTCTGCCTCCTCCTTCTTCTTTCTTCTTCTTCCTCCTCCTCCTTCTCTTCACTCCTCCTCTAGAGGAGGTGGTCGAGGAGTGAGGACGGGTGCTCCTTCTCCTTTTTCTCCTGCCCCTCCTCTTGCCCGTCCTCGCTCTCCCCCTCTCCTATAACCTCATGCACCTCCTCCCTTCCTCCCCTCCTTCTCCCTTCTCCTCTCCCTCCTCCTCTCTTCTTCTCATCATCCGCAGCATCGAGCTCTTCAACAAGGTCTTGAAGGACAGCGTCTTCGACATGGACCGTCCCCTCCTGGTACCTTGGCATCCGCACCTGTGGGTCCAGCTGACCTGGGAGATGCAGTGAGGACGGTAAGCTGGTGATCCTCGGGGATACGCACGGGCAGCTCGCGGACTTCTTGTGGGTGCTGAAGCAGAATGGAGAGCCGTCGGAGA